GACACAGGTACTAGGAGTTCGAGAGTACCACAACAGGAGACCACCGCATATGGTTCGAGTTCTTCCGTGTATACCGCACCCCATCAAGACACGCTTGCTCGGGGATTAGAGGTATCAGAAACGGGCAACATTCGTCATGATGTGACTTTACATGTCAAACTCAATATTGTCATATTTTTTCTTGTAATTTTAACATGTTATTTCTTCTTTTTTTTTTGGGTCTTTCTATAATCCATATTAGAGTTTCATAAATATGTATTGAACTTTCCTTTATATCACTATGTTTTCTTGATGTAATCACAACTTTTTTGAGTTATATAAATATTATTAAACTTTTTTGCAATTTCATTTCTAGACATATGAGAAAATAACATTCTGCTACACAGATTATTCATTCAACTCAAAAAATTTACAAATAAGCTGTTTACAAAACGCACAAACCAAACAGCTAAACTGCTTATTCAGACCAGGGGCAAAAGGGTCAATTTTTCACAATCAGCTGTTTTCCAGACGCGTTAACCAAACAGCCAGACAACTTATCCGGATCAGCTGGTCATCAGCAGATTATCAGGATAAGCTGCTTATCAGCAGAAGCTGGATAAGCTGCAGCTGCCCCAAACAGACCCTTAGTAAGATAAAGGTTTTGTTGTTATTGTTGTTGTTGATTGACTTTCTTGAATGAAAAATGTCAAAATGATTCTCAAACTCTTTGCACAGAGCCATTATAGTTCCACAGTTTATAAAAGTATCAATTTAATCCTCATAATCTTTTAATATGGGTTGAAATAGTCACCAGTGACGACTATTTTAGCCCCCACTAAAACAATTCAGGAACTAACTTCTATAAACTTTGAGGCTAAAATAGCCTGATTTAAATAGTTAGGGGACGTTTTAGTCGCACAGTTTATGAACATGTTAATTTAATCCTAAGAATCTTTTAATATGGGTTGAAATAGTCCCCGATGGGGACTATTTTGGCCCCCCCATTACAATAGTCGGGGAACTAACTTCTATAAACTCCGAGGCTAAAATTGCCCAATTTAAATAGTCAAGGGACAGAATTTATATCTTATCTAACTCCAATTAGATGATTGAACATAGATAGAAACGATCTAAACATTACGTTTAGCACAAAAAAATTGCTCTACGTAATATGTGGAAGTAATGCCAAAGTTAATAAAGATAAAAAAAGAAACCCAATGCAAGTACATTTAGTTCAAAAATTTCCATTAAAGCATGTTTAAGTGCCATCATTTTGTAAATGAATCTCGAAGTAACAACTAACATATTAATCTAGTAGTGATGATGATAAAGAAACTAATGTGGAAGATATCAGTATGCATTCCGTGGCTGTTTGGCTGCAAGTAGGATTTAGTAAATCCATAAATCTATAAATCCCACCCAAACCCTAGATTTGGGGGTGGTTTGGTTTGTTGAAAAGGTGATGCGGTGTAAAATGAATGTTATGCAAGAGTAAAGTATTGTATGTGAATGCTTTGGAGCTGTTTGGTTCGCTGTAAAATAAATGAAGCTTTTTTTTTTGTTTGAAGTAAAATCACTGCATTAGGAATGCACGCATTCCTAACACTGCCGACCAAACAGAGCCTTAATAAATCCACATTTAAGCCAAAACAAGGCAAAATTGGGGCTACTAAATTCGAAAATTCATAAATCCACAGAATTGCATTTTACCATTTGGTTGTATTTGGTAAATCCAATGATAAATCTTATTAAAAGGCACTACCAAACAACCGCTAAGAAATTTCAAGAAATGAGGGATGAACCAAACAACCCCTAAGAAATTTCAAGAAATGAGTGATCATCCCTGAAGGCAATGATATCCATTATTGCAAAAACTAAAAACTAAACATGAAGGGAGAAGAACTTTTTCAATTCAAAATTACTTTAAAAGATGAGATAAATAAGCATATCATAGACAAGGGCAGGTGCATGAATGTTGCAGTAAAATTAACTATAGAATGTACCATAAATCCAAACTTAATTCAACCTTATAAAATAGTGTGTAAGATCAAAATTCAATTCCTATTCACAAAACGCTTGGTTCCAAATCAACTTGCTAGGTTAACTGATGTAGAAGGGATGATATGTCAGCTAAACAATTTAAATCCCATTTAGATTAAAAAAACTAATAAGTTCAAAAGAAATGGAAGAAGAGTTATTAGAAAACATATTAAACCTAAATATAATTCCGCCTTATCTACAAATGAATCATGCGTGCCTAATAAACCAAAAACTTCCTTGCACATCTTATGTCAAAAAGCAATTGAAAAAAAAAAAATCTACATGGAAAGATTTTTGGTATAGTAGGTTCAAAAGCAATAAATAACACTGTTGGAATTACAAATCTCATCCAAACCAGTAATATTTCAGTTTAATGATTTGTATATTGATGAAAGTCAAAATTAAATACCATCACTAACATGTATACAATATGCTATAGATTTAGTTCCTACTTAATGTTTACCTTATGTCCCAGATTAGGATAAAAACAACGCATTATAGATGTTTATTAGAAAAAATATCTATTACATAAAGTTTCAAGTCCGCGTGCCATTTAGGCAGCAATCACTCCAAGAGAAGATATAAGTTTGCATGTGTTTATAATAGAGCAATCACTAAAATCATCATCAAATATGTATTTTCAGTTTTTAAGTTAGATGTTATATTGGAGAGTTTGAAACTTGATTTGAAAGTAGTTATATGTGAAGAAAATGAATTAAAATTAAGTATTAGATTAAAACTTGATTACATGAATAGCCAATCATGAACGTAGCAAAGCATGATTATGTGTAGAAAGTCACTGGCACACACATCAAGGATCAAATGAAGAATGACGTTGCATGCATTTAGGCAAGTGCCAATACATACAACAAAGTTGGCACCTAAAATAGCAAATGTACATGCGGCATCATCTTGTTGTGCCATTGCTTGTGGGTGTGTCAAAATAAACTTTTTGTTGCTGATTATTAGATGTATACCTTGTAGCACCTTGGCCAACTAGCACTCATGTAGAATTTTTATACAAAATTATCATAAGTCAATACCTCTTTTTTGATTATATCATCCCAAAACCATTTGTCTGTGCATATATTTATTGCATGTCAAGATAGTTTTAAGCTTGTTTATTTTATATTAAGTCCACCTCAACAATCACATGCATTTTAGGCATGGTTAAAGCCCTTACTCAAATAAAAAAGTCAGTTTTGTGCAAGGATCATCGCTGATATTATTGAAAACAATAATATGTTTGCTTGAATCACATTCTCCCCTCAATTTTCCTTCTATCGTTTATTGGATGAAAAGCCATAGCTAGCCCCCTCTTTGTCTCTCAAACACAAGTCTAAGAAACTTCACTAAAGTTTGATTGTGCAATGATCATCCATCCCCATGATTTATCTGGATTAACTAAAGGATCTAGTACCGTCACTATTTAAATCTTTTTTTTTTATGTTGTCGCTATCTTAACAAAAAGGTTTTGAGATATGTAAAATTATTTTAGGACAAAAAAATTCTTATTTTGGATATGAAGGCCCTTAACATCTACTCTAAGATGTAAATCATTAATCAAACGTGAGGCTTGAAAGCTTCCATGAAAGATATTTCCATATACAAGTGTAAGACTTGCTTTTAAAGTTGTTTTCACTTCTTCTCTTTTTGTTATTTTTCCTAACTGGTATGAAAGTGTAATTAAATTTTAGATAAATCAACTAAATTCTTAGTTTCTTTTCTGTGCATAAATCTCCATTGACTGTGATACTATATTATGACTTGAATTGGAATATCATAAACATACACTAGAAAATCTTATATCAATCCTGCTTGTAAGTCTTTAAACTTAGCCTAATAGCTCAATAAAATATTTTACACTTATTATGGATTAATGATCATAAAAAATTCCACACAACTAAATCAGGATTGGTAAATTTACACATTAAAGGATTACAAATATCTACAGCTCTCTAAATAAGAATAGAAGAATATGTCATTATATTACTAATGAGGATGAAATTTCATTTGACTAAATACAAAGTTGAAAGATATGGCATGAAATTAATGCAAAGCAAGACGACTTAACTAGAAATTACCCTACAAACCCATTAGACCATACAAATTTTGCCATCCCTATTGCTTGTGCACGTGTATGAAGCTCCCCATAGGACATGTACATCAATCAGAATTACAAAGAATAAAAAAATAGTGTAAAACAACCAAGCAAAGGGACCAGAACACTTCTGGATCATGTTTGAGAGAGATGCAACCTGTGGAAAAAAATCATACGTAATGGTGAACTTCATTTCCATGCAGGCATTCCATGCAGGCAATATAACATAGAAATCTATAAGCAAAATAAAGCCAAAATTTCATCAATATGAAAATTTACAAAGTGCCAATCACCACAACCATGTATAGACTTCATTTCCTTTAGTCAAATTAAAAAAGAGAAAAATATGCAGCAAATGCAGCTCAGTGACAAAGGTGTAGGATGATTTCAGATCTTCTACAATTTCCCTGATGTCAACAAAAACTTAATGGGAGATGTACGAAACAATATTTTACTCTTAAAGAACCCTGTAACACTTCAAAGAAACAGAAGGTGGTATTTCTCTACACGGCTAAAAAGCAAAAGAATAAGTGGTTATATGATCAGTCATATATTTATCAACCACTAACAAAGTCAAGATCTCTAGGTACTTGTACATAACCAGATAATGCAAGGAAGAGAATAGAAATCAACAAAGCTATAAGTTGAAAAGCTATTCTCAAAATATCATACCTAACTTAACATCCTTGTCTTTCCCATACTCAACAACAAATCCGTGATGCGAGTCTAGAGTCAATCCACCAACTTCTGGAAAGAAAACTGCAGAAATAAAAAGGAAAAAATAACCTCTTTTATTAATTTGAAGATTTTATGCTACCAATGATAATGAATCGATTTCAGTAAAATAAGATGCTTATCACCTCTGGACATGGGGCATATAAATTCTTCCATTAACTTGTTAAGCATAGCTTCAAAACCAAAATCATCAAGAACTGCACCATACTTATTCATTGTATTAGGTCTCATAGTCTTAAATTTAACAGCTGCTACCCACTTTTCAAAATTCTGAACCTGCACAGCTAAATCATTTCAAGGTATTGCAATTGGAAAGGATAAAGATGCTGCCAGATCAGGGAACTATACCTCAGATAACAGCAGCTATAACAGCAGCTCACAGAACAGCAGCTCACAGAAGCTTGGCTGAAGCATTGCAAATGAATATACTCCAGATGATGGCTCAGACATTATCTTTCTGAAGCCCTCTTCCGTGTTCTCTTTGATTGCTCCAATAAATGATGGAACAAAAAACGATGAAGGATGCAAGTTGTATAATTCCTTATGCAAAGGCTGGAAAACAAAAGGAAAAAATAGAAACAATTACATAAGAAATAACTTCAGACCATAACAACACAGAAAATGAAGTCAAAATAACAGCGTTTAGACAAAACGACAGAGCAAAGGAATCACATGGCAAATAAAAACAGACTGTACGTCCTAAAAACTTATGTTATATTAAGGTTCTAACCAAATTAACAAGCTGAAAAAAGATACATACAACCAAAAAATAAATTTTCAGTAAAGCATGCATGTATCAAGTATTAGCTTGCAAATAGCCTCAAGCTTGCGTTTTCATAAGATGGCAATGGTGATTGTTATAAGCTGGCTCACAAACTAATACAATTAAACACAAAGCAGCTAAAATCAATCACATATTATATGATCAATATATGAGCATTTTCAAAGTTTCAATTATGTAACTACAGTCTACTACAGCCAACAACAAATAAATAAGAAAAAATAAAATCAAGAAACGTCCTCTTAAGAGAATAGCCTCAAAAGCATGGGCGGCATACTTGCAAAGAAACTTTCCATTACTATTAATGCGGTGATCACAGTATAGCGCTACAACAGGACAACACTCCAAAATTTTGGCATAGTCATGTAAAAAAATATAATAATATCTTTAGTACGAGTAGTGTCTAAGGAAAGCATGGTTTTAAGAGAGCTCAAGAACCTTGAATATGGTTGTGAGCAGGAATTGCCAGCAGAAATTTAATCCTCATCATTATCTGCTATACCTCAACAAGTTGGGGTCAGCCATACGAATCCTCAATCTTCACTCTTTCTTGTTGAGTACCGCATAAAACTCCTTCCTAGTCCAATTACACTAATTTTATCAACTACCATTATCAATGTAATTTCCACCATTTGATGCACATATCCAAATCACCTAAATCTATTTTTTACAATATCAACTTCAGCAGTAGCTATTCTAGACCATCCATCAAATATAATCATTCAATAACCTATCATTCCTAATTTTGCCTCAAGTTTAGGGTTTAGGGTGAGAGCAAGAGAGACCGAGAGCAAAAGAGGGTGAACACAGCTAGCAAGCAAGTATGCGAGTACAAGGTTGGCTTGCTGGTACAACAAAAGCATGTTATTGTAAAATCATGTTATTGTAAAAGCAGGCAGGCCAAGATTGGCAAAGAACAAGCACATCAGATTTTCATGTTATTTTGTTGATTGAACGACACAAAGCCTTTTTGAGTACAACCAAAGTAAAGGAAATCAGAAGTTAGGGTTTGTCTTCTACTTCTAAGTCAAGGTAAAAGTTTAACCTTGTTTTCATTTACAAATCAACGAATCTTAAATATAGTTATTAAATTACTAAATAATGTGTTCGGATTAGTTTGAATGAGAGCTATTCCATAGAAAAAGACAGAAGAATGAGTAGATTAAATAAAAAAGAAGAGGTGGTTGCCTCGTTGGTGATTTCTGTAAAACAAGACAGATATTTGAGGTATAAAATATTTAGATTTTTTATAATGAAATTTTTAACTTAAAAATTTTATTATATGATATATGTTGTACCCTGCAATTTATGATTTGAGCAATATAAAAATCTAAAATTTAAATAGCAAGGTTATAATGGAAAAATGGGGAATTTACTTTGATTCAAAGTTTTATATTTTCAGTTATGAAATTAATTTTAAAAATACCAAAGTTTTAATTAAAATTTGAATAAAATTGAAAAGATAATAATCTTACTATGATGATATCTGTCTAGTTTGAATATAATGTTATCCTATAAATAAACCTGAAATTGAAAAATTAAAAATGGTTATAAATTTAGATTAAATTAATGTATTAGAGATTACAAATATTTAATTCATAAAATATTAATTAATTAAATAAGATTTACATATTTGAATAGAAGAATAACATTATTATGCATATATAGTTTAAAAAAATTAAATAAAATGGCTATTATAAATAGATAGTTATAACTATCAAATTGAGTATTAAACATGCACTAATAGCGAGGCCCAGACAGAGCAGCTGACTAGTCGAGCGGCTTCTACAACACCATAAGGCGATAATATGGTGGTTTATTGAGAACGAGGGACTAGCTTCTTTAGATGTTCTAAAATATTACACTTATAAGCATATGAGGATATAATATCCTCCACAAGGCCAAAAACAATAATGGGAGAAGGCTTTGACATAAATTTATCAGAAGTTTAATCCAAATTTGTGTGCAAGTATAAAGTAGAAGACTCAAAAGTGGCGATAAAGTTAATTGTATGCTCGTCGTGACTGTGAACCTAACTATTTGAATTAATAGAATATGATTTTCTTAATTTTGGATGAGCATTGAAGTAATTAAAATATTTTTGCCAAAATATTTTAACAAGACGTGCAATACAATTGATGCATCCAAATTCAACCTTTTGTTAATATCAACAAAATGGAGATCTAATCCAAACCCGTTTAAGTAGAGGTGAAGTAGCACTCATACTAAATTAGAATCATGCTATAGAAAGCCAAAAAAAAAAGGAAAAAAAAAACGATGGCAACATCTATTTATAATGCTTTGCCAAAGATAAGAACCGGATAACATAATGTAAATTGATTGAAATAGTATAAATGAAGTCAAAGGAAAAGGATCTAGAGTGATAGAGATTCCACGGATTAGTCAAAGTGATGAGAATACTTGAGCATGCACATCAAATAACTACACACAGTAACTTGGACGAAAAAAAATCTGAAGTAATATGCTTCAACTGAAAATCCAATAAGAATATGATGAGAATCAAGAAGTCCACCAAACTCTTCACCGTCTAAATGTCAGCTTAATAAAAATGATCACATAATATCACTGAGAACTTACCCGCAATAAAAAAATGACAATGAAGCAGCTAGCTCATAAATCTCAGAATTTGAATAGATAAAAGCTGGTTTACCCTAAAATATGGAGGGATGTTCATATAAAAAAAATTGATCCTTGATGAAAAGACGATAGAAACAGAGTAGGTAAAACCCAACTAGAACCAACAACCTTTAATTCCCCAGTAATATCAAAGAAGGATTGAGAAACACCAACAGTAAGAGATGGTGGCCATAAATGACGGTAGAAGAACTGAGATGTTTGGCACTGGAACAAAAGTATGGCCCTCTAAGATGTAAGGAGCAAATACAAGAGGTGAGTTCATTCAAAATTCTAGGAGTAGCTAACATTGGAGAGCAAGGAGATGAGATCCATGTAACAAATTGAAGGAGAAGGATAAAATAAAAGAGGTAGGAATATCAACCAAAGCACGATGCACAGTCATAAGAAGTGGGCAAACATGATGATAAAGCTGAGATGAAGAGCACAAATCCACATAAGCCAAAAAAGTAGTTTCAAGAAGTTAGAACAACCGCCCTAGGTGTAGAAAAATTGAGCGGTAGCCCTACAAAAGGATGAACATGAGCAAAGGTGAAAGTCATGAGGCATAGATAAAGGGGACAAAAACAAGCAAAAATTAGCAATTACAATGGTGTGCTTGACTAGCAATTGGCCAGCACTGTCGAGCACAAAACAATGATGAAAACATGTAATAGGCATAGTTGCTCACCAGCATATGCAGGAGGGTGAGTTGCAAAGCCACTCATTGAAGCAAGGTCAGGAAATTGAAGTCACCATACAACCAAGTGCAGAAATGAGGAGAAAAAGCAAGTTGGAATGAGAAGGTGATCAAACTTTGATAAATGAAAAGAAGGTTATCTAGGTTTAATTATGAGTCATGAAAAAGAAGTTGATATATTGCTAAGAACTACATAAGTTTATAGCAGAAATCAATTTTATAAAAACACCATTGAACTATTGGCAGTACATAAATAAAAGATTGTACCTAAGAAAGAATATTCAAACTATTCCAAAGGTAACTACTTGAGTATTGTATCCTATGATGCAACAAACCACCAAAAAAAAATATTGGTTGGTGTGCATTGGCTGCTAATATTTCATAAAATTCAATGAAGACGAAAAGGCAATTCTTAAACAACACTGGTCCTCTTCATCCCTCTGCATAATCCAACATTAATGAAAAGAAACATCTTAGGACAACATGCAAAAGACCAAAACCGTAAATGCTTCTCACTTATCATTTACATATTATTTTTAGACATCCGGGTTAAAAAAACGTAATTTTAGACCTTAATTAAAGTCTAAATCTATAAAAAGAAAAACCAATACAGACTTCTAAGTAGTTGTTACATATAGAATTATTTTAATAAATTCATAAATAAAAAAATAAAGATTGAGTAGTTGCTAAAACCATGCATCTTCTATATGGAAACTGGGTCTCAAATCAAGATTTCTGACATTCAGAATTTAAAAAATAAAAAAAAAAGGGTTCACAACATAATACATTTTTAGCAAAGCTTTTAATTTGATCAAGGAAATAAAAAAACAATTGAAATCAACAAAAAAATTTTATTATTCCATCAAAAGCTATAATCCAATAAAAATCAGACGCAGCAAGTTTCTGGGAGTTCAAACGAATTTAAAAAATTTCATGGCAGGTATCGAGAAAACAGTTTTAGAAAGATTATTTTAAAGAAGAAATTAAAAAGACGCATTTTAGGCAAACCTGGTAAGCCGCCATTATTCTCTGCCTATATTCCTTATGCCTCTGAACCTGATAAATAAATAGGAACAAAATGACACATCAAACTGAAAGTTCACCTTTCAATTATCTAATGTAACACTAACGAATGACAAAGATTAATAATAGAAAAATCTCAACTTGAAATTCTCATCAGTAAACAAAATAAACTAGCCATTCTATCCAAAACTATTAAACAACAATCATTAATTTCTCAAACTAATGAAGAAGTGAATATTGTATATTTAAAATGGGAAGGCAGATCATTTTCATGCGTATTGATGCATTACAAATATTGCTTCATCCTAATATCTCTAGAAAAATTAGAATGATGAATAACCAATTCAATTTGTTCTAACAATCAAAATCAGTACAGTGTATTCATGAAAATTTCACCTAGTAAAAAATCATCTGAATGCCCAATAAAAAACAAGCAAAAAAATCATTTATTCCTCAAAGGGATGATGCAAGAATTTTTTTTTTAATGTTGAACTGAGAACTAATAAAGGAGATATATCCTCAAGAAAGGAAAACAAATTATTGAAATATGTATAGAGATGTGAAACTAAGGGCCCCAAATGATGCCTAAAGTTCTAAAAGTATAACTCTTCGTGTTAAACTACACTCCATTCTTGAAACATCTTTCACGCTTTGCAAGACAAACAAGCACCTGATTCCACGTGCTTGAATCCTTTGAAAATATTGCCTGGATAGTGCTCTTAAAATAAAAATAAATAAAAAACCTGTAATTATAATAATTAGTCAAAGTTGCTACCATTAAGTATCATTTTTTATATTTTTCTTTTGTTGATGTTATTTCATAAATCTATTTCTTACAAGGTAAGGAAATAATAGATTGAGCCTAAGCTAAACTAAACCAAAAATGTACAATCGTGCAGTCTGCATTTAGCTGGTTTAAGGATTTTTTTCTATAAAAATATGAAGTTGGCATTTGAGAAAATCCTGAAATCAGATTTTGGAGCGATGAAAACTACTGCCACCACCTAATAAAATCAGGAAGGAATTTTAAAAACTACAGCCATCACACTATCAATTCCAGAATTCGCTCAACCAGTTAAGAGATTCCAACCAACCAATCAAATCAAAAGTTTCACCAAATGCCATGCTGCCTACTCCTCCATTGCCAGCTGCTCCTCTGTCAGTTGCAGTCCCCCGGTAGCCTTTTTTCTGTGTTACCATGCTGCCGACTACCATGCACTGATGTTTTTGCCCAGTTTCCTTGATTTAGAATCAAATTAAGTATTGAATTCTTATTTATAATTTAATGCAATGTACCATGTTTGATTTCTTTTCTGTTTTTCGCCAATTATGGCTTTTTTCCCTCTTCTATTTTACTTTCTATCTTAGACCTTTTGTACCTCCTATAAAATTTGTACCCGTTCTGTCTAGTGAAAGAAGGAAAAAAGTAATATTCTTCTCCTATATTTTTTAACATGGTAGCAGAGTCATCCTTCTCTAACTTTCTCCAACATTTTTAATTACTATCAGTTTTTTCTTCGCCTGGTTTACCATAATGATGATTAAACGTGAAATGACCTTGGAAAGAAGCTACTCCCCTAAAGCCACACCTGCAGTGAATCAAGATCCGTGAACAATAATAACATCCAAGAGACATTCCCCAATTTGTGGTCATTCAACTCGAACCAAATACTTCAGCACAAAAAATCAACAACAGTGTGTTGCCCAAAAAAGTGTGGTTTTAAATGCCTTTAATGCCCAAAGTGAAAATCCGCACTACTGGATTATAGACTTGGAGACTTATATCATATGACAAAGAATGACTCTTTCTTTCACACATTTAACCCTTGTTTAAAAACTTGTGTGGAAATCTAGGGGGATAGACCTCCTTTCCATGATTAGCCCAAGCCGACCATCCCAGGAGAGATGAAGGATGGATTAATAGGAGACAATTTTTGGTGGTGGGAAACTCATTGATTAGTTTTTATTATCTTCCCATTTATGTTTATTTCAGAATTGTTTCCTTTCCATATTTAGGTTAGATATATATGATAAGATTGTGACACGGGAGCTTAACGTGGACACGATACTATAGCTGCTACAGTACATCAAACCGGCCCAGAGGACTTGTCCCCCTTTCCAAATTAGTTGCCTCTCTTCCTTTCCTATTTCTCTTCCTTTCTTGTTTCTATGTCTTCCTATTCTAATGCATCCTATTATAACTACTAATACCTATTACATATGAATATACATGTTGATTGTTTGCTTAGGGTTTAGTTCCTAATTGTTTTTTTATTTCAATTTGCTGCCCCTAAGGCATTTATCCCCTCCGAGGGTTTTATCCGACATCAAAAAGATGCTCCAGCAGTAACTCGTCCAAGGTGGTGATTATCTCCGCCCGTTCCATCCCTTCCTGCTATTGTCCAGCTTACCACAAGCTCTTACAGCTGTTGTCGAGTTCACCGCAAGATCTTCCGACTGCTATCAAGTCCACTGTAAGCTTTTCCAGCCGCAGTCTAGTCCATCTCAAGACCTTCTGACTGTTGTCCAGTCCTTTGCAAAGCCTTCTGAATGCTGTCCATTCCACCGAAACCTCTTCCAGCAGCTGTCCAGACTACCGCAACTTCACCAACGCCCTTCATGTGACCGCTGACCGTCTCTGACACCTTCCAGCGGACCGACCTTTTTCCAACTTCCTACCGACAGGCCATCCTTCCTCCTGCATCTATCAGACAGACCACCGACCACCTGTTGCTCCCTCCAACATCGCAGTCACCTGTTATCAGCCACCTTCCAGCACTGCCACAACTCCCTTCCTATTCCTCTAAATCTGCCGCTCTCCCATAGAGAGCGTTTATGTGTTTTGTGTTGTTTTCTTTCTTATTTTTACAAAGTCTTCATTGTCACTTGTCATTTGCATGTTCGTATTGTTTTATGTTAAGGAGTCGTCGTTGTAACTTCTGAATTCGATAATAATATTTGTCAATTGGCTATGGTTTGGGTTAACTCTAATATCATTTGGAATTAAAATTAGCCTGATCCTAGTCCTATCCTAGGGTTTCCTAGCATCTCCACTACCCAAACCACCACCACCAAAAAAAAAAATTTCCTAGTCCCACACCATAGCCAAATTTTAAACCTAAATCTAATTTCTCCTTGTTAATTTTCAATCAGCAACCCCAAATTAATTTTCCCGCACCATTAATTAGTCTCATATACCTTCTTTCACCTCCCAACCTAAACCCTAACCATGTCACCAAGGAGATATGTGTCCGAGTCTACCCAGGAGTAGATACAACGAGAGCTCTGTAGTATCTAGCAGAGAATTGCAAAGATGATTGATGGAACCAAATGGAGGATTATCCTCGACTGTGATCTGAAAAGTCAAAGGTGAGAATGGGACGAGAATTTGAAGTCCATACGACAGCATGAGGGAAGAGATAAGATTACTCCCAAGTCCAAGATGAAGCGGGAGATGCAACACCAATTCCTACCAGCTTATTACAGACAGAATGTTTAAACTCTAACTTCTGAAGTAGAAAGACAACATCACCGGGCGACCACATTTTTCAGGAACAGTTCAACATCAAGAACTTACAACCAGATACACCCAGGAGAACATTCAAGCTAACTCCGTCAGAGGAAAAGCTGATTCAGAGTGGAGAACATGTGGAACCAAGCCACATCTCTAAATCTGTCCCAACGCTTCAGGTGTTATGGGTTTGGGCACAATGAGTCGGATTACACAATCAAAAGAGTGATCACTTTCACCCATTGGGGAGAAGTTGGAGAAATGCACAATGATACCACGAAATAGAGTGATCACACAAAAGAGGAGTATCAGCTGCCAAACCAGTGAGGAAGAAACGCCATCAATTCCAGTTGAACCCAAGAAAAATTTCAACTGAGTTGACAGTAGCTGCTCTAAAAGATGGTGAATCTGAGGTAATGGGCATTTTGTATGAGGTTATGGTGCCTCAAACTACATTTTTTGCAGACATTCAAAGGAGCATCAACAAGAGTGACATTGGATATCCGAAAAGGCCATAAGTTTGAGGAGTCGATATTAGACACAGGGCAACTTAAGATAAGAAAATTTAAAAATTTTCAGATATCTCCTGAGAAGCCCCTATAGAGGGAGGTTCAACTAGTCAAAGATAAGAAAATTTTGAGCTCTTCTGGAAAGAGAAATAGAGTAGTTCGGTTAGTAGATTTTGTTCAGCAGTATACCCACCACAGATATCCAGACAGAGGGGATGAACCACAGATTTGAAAATTATTTTTGGAGCTTTAAAGGGAAGAAAATTCTATGGAAAGCCTGCAAATTAGAAACTTGGACATGAAAGGAAAGATCAAGAGAACAAGATTAATGCTGCTAGCACATCTGAAGTTTCGACTGGCCAATTCACCGAGGAACAGCTTGAAATACTGAAAAATCTCTTTAACGGTAATTCAGAATAGCATGCTATACTTCTCTCAACTTGCCAGCAATGAGATATTTAGACTTTGGATCATAGATTCAGGAGCTTCTAATCATATGTCTAAAATATCAATGCTCTAGTCAAGTATCATGAGGCTTCTACATCTAAATCAGTCAGACTTATAGATGAATCACACTCAAAAATTACTAAAAAGAATATGTAAAACTTTCCCGGGATATTAATCTGTCTTTTATTTTATATGTTTCAAAGTTGGATTGTCATTTAATTTCAACCAGTAAGCTTACTCATGATATAAAATATATAACTCAACTCTTATGAATTTCAGGGAGTGAATTCGAGGAAGGTGATTAGAAGTGTTGAAATGCATCAAATCTTATATTAAAAATTCACCCATTGAGTTTCACAAAAAGTAAATATATAAGTTGAAATTTTTGTTGGTATCAGTAGAAAAGACTCCAACAATAAGTACTTGTTTTATTTCATTTTCACCTCTTCTCATTCTTTTAGAATCTCAAAGATGTCACTTCTAGCTTCTAGATCATAGATTCAAAAGCCACATACCATATGACTATTTTTCACGCAAATTTATGTCATATACTCCTTTCCCGACAA